ACAGGACGTTGATAGATTAATCTTCAAAGTCCAACTGAGTTATCTATACAGCTAAAACATTTTTCTCATTTTAGGATCATCACATTCTTCCTCAGCTACCAGAATTATAAAAAGTTGATTGGATTCATAATATTCCACCAGGGGAAAAAAAGGTCTGCAACATGGGTTATTCTGGAGGATAAAATATGTACCAATTTCAATAAATGATCAACCTATTCCAATGAACATTTTGAAGTGATGGATATGACAAAATCCAGTGTTGCAAGAAACCAAAAACAAAAATAAGTAACACCCAATAACTCATATGGAGAGAAAAGTATTCCATAAGTACAAGGAGCACACACCTTGCAAAGCGATGGCAGGACAGAGATATTTTCAGCAGCACTACAACCAGATGATGCTGTTTGGACAAAGGAAACCTATAGGGTTAAGAAGCCAGCTCTGTTTCACATTTAGTACAAAGTAGCAGTATAGAAAACTCAACCACATTAACTTTAGAAAAAGAATAACGGCACCCTTACCACTAGCAGCTTGAAATGATCCATTAATGATCCTTGAAGATCCACAGCAACTGAGAGAAGATAGGGACCCCAAAGAACGTAACAGCTTTCTTGACATTGATATAACCATCTCTTTTCTCTCCACCTGCACCTTCTGAGTCCTTGGCAATGTCGGATTCTAGTAGAGTCAAGTGAAGAAAGTCAACTGTCCATTTTATTTCTGTATATGGATTTCTTCAGAAGAATTTCACTGAAAAAATATCACACCCAAAATGAGGCAACCCTAAGCATACAAAAAAAAAAAAAAAAAACATACAATTATATCTCAAACTTATCATCGAAGACCGGGTGATTAGTGTATAGAATAAAGCATTCTTATGCTGCCACACTTTTATAAAATCCTGGCCAATTTTGAATGGTTCTATCAATTAAAAAAGCTATGGTTTAGCATTTTAATGGTAAGGGGAAGAAAGAAGAAACGAAATCAAGTAAACAACAAAGAAAAGAAATATCACATATAATTTGAACTTGTAAACAAAAACCGCCTTCAATAAAAAGGAAATTTCTGAGTAGTAAACAATGCTGCTTACTGTAGGTTGAGAAATAAACATCTGAATTACCCTTCTCAATGTGGCAGAACAAAATCAATGCACAGAGCTCTAACTAGCAAAAGAAAGTAAAACCATACTGATCATTGATTATTATGGTTCATATTATTTATTATTGGTGATTTATTTATTCAGTTTCTGAAAATAAAAGACAGATTAAAGTGAAACAACTGAAAAGGGAGAGAGAAAGAGAGAATGGGAAACAGCAATAGAGAGAGATGGTTGAAGATTGGAAGCAATTTTGGTGGTTGCGAGTGTGATTGGTATAGATGCACAGAGATACTGAAATAGAGAAGATGTTTTGATGAGGGAGGAAAGGTTTACCAGGCGAGAGGACCCTGACGAGAGCGGTCACTGCTCGATGTTTGAACTCTGAGTCTCCGAACAACCTCTTCCAATTCCTACTTTCCACTTAGCAGCACAAGTTAGGGGTGAGCGTAGGGTCGCTCTGGAATGGGCCGGACATAGGAAGAGTTGGATCCAGCCCAAGCTAAAAATCTTTGGGCTGGGGCCGAGGCCCGCAATTGGTCCTGTATACTAGACTTCAGCCCAACTCGACAATGTAATGTACCTAGCCTATTAGCTCCGTTGGTTAGAGAGTCGTGCTAATAATGCGAAGGTCACAGGTTCGAGACTTGCATGGGCCAAATTTTAGATTTTTTTGCCCTTCTTTCCTTTGTATTTCTGCTCTTCCTTGTAAGAGGGACCAATGTTCAGAGAACCGGACCGGGCATCGACTCGGTAAAGGCATAGGTTCATGGGTCAGAGGTCTGACCAGGGTCAAACCGGAGGTCGAACCGTGATGATGTAATAAATAAAATTCAAAAACTTACTGAATATGAATGACAATTAATCCAAAATTGAAATAAATGCTTCAAACTTTCAAAGTTTAAGACAATATGTCCCACAATGAAAACAAATATATCAACAATCCAATAAAGTTCAAGACTCAATCCTAATTATAACCACCATCATCACAAAGGCATTTCAAGAAATATCAATTAAAAAATTATAATGCATGCATGATAAACTAAAATTGATTTCAATTTTCAGCTATTTTAGTATAACATTATCACTATCACTATTCTAAATTTAGTTCCAATTTTCAGCTATTTCAATATCAATATCACCTAAATTCAAAATATGAAATCAATTTATTCAAGTTTAAATTTCTATTTCAAGATTTCAAGAGGGCTTAGGCTAACCTGCAAGACTGAACAACTAGTTGTGTATCTTGGCCGAATTTGGTGGACTAAAAGCCTGAAGCAAAGATCAAATTCCAAGCCTCAAACAAAAATCAAAACTGTAACAAAACTATCAGTAATTAATTAATTTCATGTTCAAGAATTAAAAAATAAATAAATATTAAAAATAAATGACTAAATGTTGCAGAAATCAGATTCAAACTTAAAAGAAAAAGAAATCAGATTCAGGCGGTGCGAGGAGGAGGAGAAGGAAAGAGGGAAGAAGACTAGGAGAGGGCGGTTAACAGAGCACCGCCGCTACCGCCAAAGAGAGGACACCGGCCGGCAGAGCTGGAGGGACGCGCGCGGTGAACAGAGTCCACCGGCGGGAAGAAGAAGAAGAAGAAAAAAAACTGAAAGAGGAGGGGAGCGGCTACCTGGCGTCGGCGAAGAGGCGCAGGTGGTGGTGGCTGGAGTCGCTGGAGGAAGAAGAGGAAGAAGAATATCAGATATCGATCGAAGAGGGTTTATTTTTGGCTGGGATGGAATTTTCGATTGGAACTTAGGGGCTGTTTGGCCCAATTTTAAGGCTTTTTTTGTGTTTTTTATACTAAAACTGAGTGTGTTAAAAAACCGGAACCGGTTCGCCGGTTCTTCGATTGAACCGGCCTTATAAACGGTTTTTTGGATATATCGATTTTAGGCCCATTCGTTTTTTGATAAGTTATTTACCTGGGTAAATGCAGTTATCTGGGTAAGTTTTCCTAGAGAAACACTTACCCGAGTAAGTACATTTACCCATGTTCTTTTATCTCTCATGTAAATAAGGCAATGACCATTTTAGTCATAAAAATCCATAATTAAAAAAGGCATTTTTGTCTCATTCAAGTGTTGGCAACTTTCCCCCTAGATGGAAAAGTTATTTACCCACTTAGGAGATAGGTATTACTTATCCGGGTAAGTAATGCCCAAAAAAATAAACTTTCTCTAATCCCTATATAAATCTGAAAAAAGAATATAGGATTCTTGGTCAATAGAAACCAAAATCCCATTGACCAATTTTCTCCCCTCTCAAAATCCAAAAAAAAGAATGCCCCCTTCGGGGTATGTTCAGACTAGAAAAAGGCAACAAGAGCCTAGGCTGTTTGCCCCCAAAGTTATGCGGAGGAGTACTAAAAAAGGTGCTAACGGCAGTGGGACTCCTGCGGGTAATGATAAGCTTAAAAAATGAAGCCCATTTCTTTGAAATCCCACTATAGTAATGTCAATAAAAATCGAAAATGAGAATCAAAATAATGAGAAAATGATTTATAACTGTGAGGCTATAAGGTGGGATTACTAAATAATGAAAAAGTAAATGTGACTGAGATGTAAGGGGAAAATTTTTGTAAAAGAAAGAGAAAAAGGAAGACAAGAAAATCTGAAATTCAAACCATGCAAGTAGAAGCTACAATGATAATAGAATAATATTTGAAGTTTATGGCCAGATTGTAGGCTTTCCAAACTGCCCATGCCTCCACTTGGTTGATGGTGGATTAATCGAGTTTGTAAGCTTTATAATCCAGAACCTTCTCTGTGATGTAACAAGTTATAGCAGCGACCAAGCATTTACTATCAATGTTGCAGGAAATATCTAAATTTATTTTGATGCTTCCAGCATTTGGGTGTTTTCACACAATTGAAGTTCATCATTTATTATCCGGGATGCTATTTAAGTCTTTGAGACCTTTCATGTTCTCTGTGAATAGGTTGAACACTTTGTCCAACAAAATGGGAGGGGGGCTTCCCTATTATTAAAGACGTTGCAATTCCTATTTTTCAAGATTGATCAATAAAGATAAGTAATTTTCTCCTTTATTTGAGGGTTTTTAGTATTCTCATTTTTGGCAATTCTTACCCACCAATCCAGTAAGGATTTGATCATTCTCATCTGGACCCTCCAGACTTGGACTAATCAGATGTCAAATTTGTTTAGTAAAGTAGTAATCCGTTAACCGTCAATTCGGTTCATTGGTTTTTTAGTTTTTAATTGTTAAATATATATTATAAAAATATAGATAAATATATAATAAAAAAATATAAATATATATATATATATAAATGTTATATTTTAAATAATATATCATATATTATAAATATATATAATGCATATTTATTAATTTATAATATATAAAATATATATAATATACATAGATATATAGAAATTATATAGAAATATATATATATATACCGGTTGATTTGGTTAACCGTTGGTTTTTTATATTGGTTAACCAAAACTGAATCGATACCTTCAATTTTTTAAAAACATCGAACCGAAACCGAATTAACCAATTCGGTTAACTGATTTTTCAGTTTGGTTTCATCGGTTTTTTCAGTCAGTTCAATTTTTTTGTTTTTTTTTTTGCTCACCCCTATAATTCATCCTCTTTTCCCAAGGAGGGATTTTGTGGGGAGTTCGCTATTTAGAAAAGAGTAAAATATAAAAACCTCCCCTAAAGCTTTTAAGAATAATAAAAACATTCCCTATAGTTTAACTTTAGCAAAAACCTCCCTTTTCAAAAAAAATTGATAAAAACCTCCTTTTCAATGACCCAAACGGAAAATGTTAAACCGATGATATTTTCAAAATATCTATTTTACCCCTATACGATTTATTATATACCTATTTTTTACTAAAATACCCTTTGCCCTCTCTTATTATTCTGGTTCTTGGAGAATGGGTGAGGAACAAACAAGGAAGAGGGGCAACAGGAGAACGAACCAGGAAGAGTAGCAGTTGAAGAGTAGCAACTGAAGAGGAAAGAACGAACCAGGAAGAGGGGCAACTGGAGAGGAACGACGAACCTAGGAAGAAGGATTTCGGTCCCATTGGAAAGGAACGAACAGAGGTACAACGAAGCCAGGAAGAACAATTTCGACCAGGTGGTTTTACCCTATATCCCTCTTCATTTTAATTCTCTAGGGATTTACCAGTAGATAGAGATGGTGATCGATCACCTTTTTGGGGTTTGTCTTCAATTTTAGTTTTGGACCTTACTTTCTCAGGCAGCACAACTGAAAGTGGTTCGGTTCTGATTTACCAGTGATCACATGGTTTTGCTGGGGGTTTCTTTCTGAACATTCTTTTTCTCTTGTGGTTGGCTGGAAGTTGTTCTGGTTCTTATTTTGGTTCTTATTGTATGTCCTCAATGGTTAGGTTCAAGTCACACCCATATGCATAGACATAGTAGACTTTTGCAAGGCTTTCAGCAGCAAAACCTGGGAACTGCAAAGCCAAAAACTCCATAGGATTCAGGTCAAAACCATGTGATCACTTAATGCATGATTTAGAAATCCCAAGTTACCAACACTACTCCTATCTTCCATAAGTTGATCTCTCTTCTTGGTTTCTTATTATTATTACTTTCAACACAAGATTAATGAAAATATAATTCATTCGTAATCATTCCTAGGAATAGCAAAGTACATCAGCTACCTATGGGCACAATCAACATTTTCCACTCAACTTTCTAAGAATAAACAACTACATGCAGTGGGATAAATGGTTACCTCATAAAATACTGAATCCTGAGGAAAAGTTTCAATATAACAATAAGATTGAAACATCTTGGGGCTTATTACTTTCCACTACTATAGCTCCAAGAAATAAAAAGCAAAAGGTTATTTAAATTGTCTCTATTACAAAAAAAAAAAAAAAAAAATCTATGAGAAGCATGTGTCCTTTCCTTGAACAAAGATAAGTTATAATGGAAGAATAGAGCATACCTCAAGTTGAGTGAGCATCTCAATAGTTAGGTTCAAGTCACACCCATTTGCATAGTTGACTTCTTCAAGGCTTTCAGCAGCAAAACTAGGGAACTGCAAAGCCAAAAACTCCACAGGATTCAGGTCAAAATCACTCAAAACCATGTGATCACTTAATGCATGATTTGTATGTCCTCAGTTTGGAATTTGGATGATTTGTCTTTTCTGGGGGTTTCTTTCTTTACGTTCTTTTTCTCTTGTGGTTGGTATGGCTCTTGATGGTTTTTCTTGGGTTACTAGATGTTGACCTGTAGGTAAGAAATTTACAATTCAGATTACTATTAGGCAAATAAGTCTTTTGTAGCAGATCTTTGTGTTTCTTTTTACATATTGCTTCATTGATCTTTGCAAATGATTTTAGAGATTGCTGTTTGTGTTTCTTTTTATTTAGCTTCAAGTACTATTGCCACAAATCAAATCAGATTGCAAATGAAAATTTTGCAAACTTTGGTCTAATGAGTTTTCACTTCTTTTTTGTAGTTGTTCAAAGTGCTTGTCGTGTTGTGTGCGATGTCAATGCAGTCTTCGGCATCTAGAGGTTCCTACCTCAAATACAAGAATAAAATATGCAAATGTGGCCAGAAAACTATAGTACGAACCTCCGATTCAGTAGACAACCCTCATAGGCTATACTTCTTTTGTGCTAGATGATTGGTATGTGTAATGGAATTTTATTTTCCTTCTTGATTTGTGAAACTATGATTTAGAAAAAAGTGTAATTTTTTTTCCTGGTGCAACCCTTCTGATGAAGATGATGACCAAGATAATTATCCAATGGTGATGGAGCAATGAAAAGAGGTAACCAATCCAGAATTGAAGGTCATGACGCTAGAAATAGTGGCTTAGTTATATGAGATGAAAGGAGTGCTGGCTAACTTGGGTGCAAAGATGGATGGACAAAAGTCATCATGCAAACAAACAAGTAATATGGCAGTGGTGGCTATTTTCTTTATCGTCATTTGGGCCACCTTCAAGGTTCTCTAATGTTACAAGTCTAAGAGAGTCTTGGTTTTGTGGATATGTAATCGAACATTTAGTTCTCTAATGGCAGTGGTGGCTATTTTCTCACGAAATGATGAGAAGGAAACATATTTGGTTTTATGGTAGAGTTTAGTTCAAAGGATTGATGTTTGGCGTGAATGGTGCTAATCATTTATGTGGTTAAACCTGATTTGTAACAGAGAAAAACATGTTTAGGCATGTGCTTTTCAACGAGTCAAGAACATGTTTCACACTAAGGTTATGTTCATTTGCCCTGAAGTCTAACATCTGAAAGTGCAATGATTACATTAAGAGGTATATTGGTATTGGTGAACTTTTCTTTCCTCTAAATTCTGAATGCAGAGAATGTTGTTCTGAACTCTAAATTCTGAATTCTGAAAATTATCAAATATCTATTTGACCCCATATATTAGAGTTTTTATTTGCCTTTTTGGGGGTATCATTGGAAAACAAAAAGTTGTATGATTGCACTTTAAGAGATAAGAGATAAGAGGAAATGAACAACCAATTTTCTCTTAAAGTTAAAATATTCCTCTTAAGAGATAAGAGTTAAGAGAAAATGAACAGACCCTAAGAGTATTTGTATGGAATTGGCACTTGTTTACATCATTTGTTTGTAAGATTAGCTCCTTGTGCTAAATACTTTGCTCTTTATTTTCTTTTTCAAGGACCAATTTCTTTTTGTTGATTATATTTATTATACCAACTTTGCATTTCCTTTTGAGGCAGGCTTGTGGAATAGATATTCTTCTTGAAAATGATGATGGCTTATAACTGAACCTCTGATTGTGTCATCCATCAAACTTATCTTTCATCTTGACCCAATGTACAATTAACTCTAATTATTATCATTTTAATCAATGCCTTGGGAGCTATCTTTGTTGGAGAAGATTCTACAATTCTTTCCTCTTGTATATGGGTCATAGAATAGCTATTATTGTGGAATGGCACATCAAAACTACTCAGACTCAAAGGCTCAAAAATTACAATCGGGCTTGTTAGATTCAAAAAACACCAAGTGGTTCCAAATTGTCCTTAGACTTGAATTCCCTCAAACCAATAGGATAATTGGAAACCAAAGCCTTAGGACTTGCAGAAATCATCGTTAACACACTTGTACAATGCGAAGGAATAAAGCTCAACTGGGACAGAAGGGGAGGCATTGGAATTTACTGGATATGAATGGTCACCTGGGTGGGTTTGCGGCTGCTCTCATCGATGATCCAGTTTGGGTCATGAGTGTAGTCCCTACAGAGGCAAAGCTCAACACACTTGGAGCAATTTATGAGCGTGGACTGATTGAATATCAGAATTGGTAATTAAGCTTTGTGCTCTACTCAGAACTCGTATTTAATTCATTCAAAATATGGAGTTTGTCACTAATCGTGTATATTGTTATTAATCTGCTTTTCTTATTGAAGGTGTGAATCCATGTCTACGTATCTCAGGACATATGATGTCCTTCACGCTGATTCAGTTTTTAGCCTTTACAAGGGCAGGTGATTTATCATTACAGAGAGATTGCTCGGTAGTTTGATGTTTTATATATCCACAGAATTCTCAAAACAGACCATGGTTTTGTGTTGCAGATGTGAAATGGAAGATATTCTGTTGGAGATGGACAGAATTCTTGGGCCAGAAGGTACTGTAATATTCAGAGATGATGTGGATGTTTTGTTGGAGATCAAGAGCATCAGAGATGGAATGAACTGGGAAAGCAAGATTGTGGACCACGAGAAGGGGACTCTTGAGAGGGAGAAGCTGCTGTTTGCAGCGAAGACATATTGGACAGCTTCAGCCCCTGTCTCAGAGAAAAGAGAGTCAAAAACAACTTTCTAGAGTGTTTTCATTGATTATGCCTTGGGTTATACACCAAACAACTTTTAGCCATTGATTGATCTTAATAGTCTTCTGAATAGACAGAGTTGTTCTTTTGATTGTCAAGGAAATTAAATAATTCATTGTACCTTCTATTTCCAGTACAGTACAGTGCAATTAATCAAGAGGATGGGTTACTTCACTCCAATAAGTTTTCAAAAACAATAAAATAAAATAAAACCGGAGTCAGTTGAGAGTGACAAAAGTGCATAAAACTTGAGTTGTTAGTTGAGTCATGCATGCATGCTCGAGTCCAGAACTGCTCCTCTGAGCTTGTCAACCTCACCAAACCCCGTCCCCTCCACTTGGACGTCGAATAATTCAGAATCTTTCCAATGTTTCAGTCTCTTTTCTTTTCTGTATATTGAGTGGCAATTGAGCTGCAACTCAGTAATTACACATATATAGTAGTTTAGTAATGAATAAATAAAAGATGTTCTCCTTGTGGGGACATAATATGTGCATTCGTAGTGCTCATCTTGGGCATTCTTGAATGAAAATGGCAAAGGGAAATGTTTTTTTCTTCCAGAAACGATGACATGAACAACACTGAAGCAATGTATCTTCTATCTCTGCTAAATGAAGAAAAGAATCCAAATGATGATAAATCCACATAGCAAAGTATCTTGCCCTTACGACTAATAATGGAGTTAATTTAGGCAGAAAGACACATGCCCTTTACTATGTGGAAGTGGAAATGGAAACTTCATTTTGTTTGGAGTTGAATTTTCATGTAATATTTTGCTTATTAAAATTCCTAAATAATTCTTTTTTTTTTCATCTTACTATTTTATTACCCCTTACCTAGTTCCTCCCTGTTCTTATTCTTCTGGGTTCTCTGTATATTCTCTGTATAACCTACAAAATCAGAACCAAAAGACATGGTTCCCTAATCTTTGTATCACTTCTGCATTTAATATTGAGCTGGTATTAGTACATATACAACTCAAACCCAATATTGGGTGTCTGGTATTAGAGAGCTAACACCCTAGCCCTTACTCTATTACAGAAACAGAAAATTTCTGAACCCAAAAGCACTTGCTACTAACTAAACAGAATAAAATCCTGTCAATAATAAGAGGCATACAAATCCAAATAAAAATAGAACACATATATTGTAAACCCCAAGCATAAAAGCATTCTTCATATCTTCCTCAAACCAATTGAATGAATTGGTTTTCTCAACCAAGCACTATTGCCCTACCCAATTGAATGAATTGACTAAGAAAAGATATAAACAGGTAACCTCTTTATGTTAACCTAGCACCTAAGTTAACCTTGTGTGGTACTGTGGTTCTATTTTCTTAGTGGTTTTCTTTGTTGAGGTTCTCTGCTCTGTAGGGTTGAGTGATATGCTATAACTAGTAGCAATACCCCGCATATGCACATCACGAGTCCTCTAGTCCACATGATTCTATGCTGTAACACTTATTGAAGCTTTTCTCAACCAGTGCCAGTTATTGAAAGCTATTTTTTTAGTAAAAATAATACATTAAAAATGGCTCTAGTTTACCCTGGTGGCATGGGTTCACAGGTTGCTGGGATAAAACTTGTTCCATGAACAACAAATGAACATGTAGACATGATTCCAATAATACACAAACATGATTTAAAATTCTTGCAATTGCCCAATAATACACAGACATGCATGGTCCAACTATAAAATCACAAAAGATATTTCTCAGACATGAATGAGCAACTACAATGGGATTCCAGGAACTTTTTAGCCAATATTTTGTATCCAATATAGGGTGAATTGTCGGTGCATAGGCTGCCAAATATTTCTCTCTTTTCCAGCATTCATTGAAATAATCTTCAATTTGTTTTCGCTTATGGATCGCCACGGCCATTGCATACTTGCAAGGAGTACCACTAATGTCCCAAACTCGACAACTACAAGAAGAATTTTGTAAGTAAACACTCTCCCATATGTCGTTATATTGCACCTCATACTCCAACTCCCCGGACCTCAAGACTTGGAAATTCCTTCAATTCAGCAATTACACTAATGCGAGTAAACAAGAAAAAAAACCAAGAATCTATATATGAATGAGTACACAAAGATCAATCCATACCTAGCAAGCCGTTTTTTCTTCTCAACCAACCTAGCAACTTTTGGTAAAAGAGTATTTGTGTCTTTCAATACTCTATCATGTTTAGATTTAATTTTAACCATCCACTTACGTCGTATGTATTCTAGGAGAGGAACAATAGCTTTGAACCTGGCATCCATAACCCATTTGTTAAATAATTCTGACATGTTATTAGTCAAATCATCACCTTTTATGTTAGTGTTGAATGCATGTAGGCTCCATGTTTTTGTAGGAATGTCCTTTGCCCAATCCCAAGCAGATTGGCTTAGGGCCTTCATCTTCAGTAATGCATTATTGGAATCGTGTATTGTGTATGCCCTTGCAGCCTCCCAAAACACATTTCTTAAAGCAACACTTGTGTGTATGTTGTGGGCGCGTATTGGGAGCAGCAGTAGCAATGATCCGGTGTTCTCATCATATCCAATTCGGCAGCAATAGTCTTATCCATTCAGCATATTAGATTAGACTATCTTGTTATTCTTATCTTATTAAGTTAGTAGATTAGATTATCTTATCTTATTAGATTATGATTAAGAGAGACTTATCTTATCTTATCAGTCTTATCTTATCAAGATAGAGTTTGAGGTCTCCCTATTCAGCAAGGAGTCTCCCTAAGAGCAGGACTYTTGTAATCTCCTATTTAAGGAGCCACTATTATTGAATAAAGGCATCCAAAATTTCAGTCAAAGAGAAGAGTAAAGGAGAGTTAGGGTGATCTCTTGGACAAATCACCCCTTAGGTCACCACGATAGGGTCAGCACACAAAGGGGGAGGGGCAAGGGGAAACTAGAGGTTCTCCCTGTGGACCGACCCGTGACGAGATCCTACACTCGGGCCCATAACATTTTGGTATCAGAGGAAGGCGTCATGGGAGATCTGGAGTAGCTGCCGTCCAGGGTCCACGATCTCAAGCACCAGCTCGTGGAGATCAGCTCAGAAGTACGTGAGATCAAGGACGAAGTCAGAGAGCTTCGACATCTGATGGAGTTATTCCTTGCTAGCAAGGAGAAGAACACAAAAGGGGTGACAACCACTAGTGGCCGCTGACCAGATCTGCCGGAGTCTTCCGGCGAACAACAGTTCGTCAACCAGGGGTCGCAGTCATCCCCAAGTACAGCAAGTTAGAATTCCCATCGTACAACGGCAACAGAGACCCCTTGGGCTGGCTATACTAGTGCGAACAGTTTTTCCAAAACCAACAGACAGATGACCGAGATAAGGTAAACCTATCCGCCTTTCACTTAACGGAAGAAGCGCAACTCTGGTTCTATCGTTTAGAACAGGAAGAACCCGGGCTCAGTTGGCCCCAGTTCAAGCCCTACTGCCTTCTTAGGTTTGGGCCCCCACTGACAAGCAACCCCTTAGGCGAGCTGATTAACCTTAAACAAACAGGCACAGTGGCAGAATACCAACGCCAGTTCTAGACCTTCCTTGCAAGGGCATCTTCAATGCGACTGGACCAATAGGTAGACATGTTCACCGCTGGGTTAGCAGAACCCCTGCGGGTGGACGTGGAAATGCAGAATCCCCCCAACCTGGTTACAACCATGAATATAGCTCGCGCCTTCGAACGCAAACTACAACTCAGCCGCGGAACCTTCAGTATGGGGCGGCCTCCATCAGCATGGGCATCCCCGGAACCACTCGGAATGGCTCCATATTCCGCAGCCAACCAAGAACGGAAGCCATAGACGAGCAACAATTCCAGATCAGCATCCAATGTGGGGAGCAACGTCATTGCACCCCCTATTAAGCACTTGTCCAGGGCTGAGATGGCAGAACACAGGGCGAGGGGACAATGTTTTAATTGCGATGAACTCTACTCAGCAGGGCACAAGTGCAAGAGACTTTTCTGCCTCCTGGTGAAGTAAGAGGAAGATGAGGATGAACCATCTTCATTGGAACCCGATCCAAGAGGGCAAAGTCATTCCACCTATCCGGGATTCCTTTAACGGTGCTTCCTGACACCCATCCCGAATTCGAGCTTGAGGACAAGCTCGTAGTCCAAGAGGGGAGTAATGATGTGGACGCGTATTGGGAGGAGCAGCAGCAATGATCCGGTGTTCTCATCCTATCCAATTCGACAACAACAGTCTTATCCATTCAACAGATTAGATTAGACTATCTTGTTATTCTTATCTTATTAAGTTAGTATATTAGATTATCTTATCTTATTAGATTAGGATTAAGGGAGACTTATCTTATTAGATTATGATTAAGGCGGAACGTAGGGCACGAGGACAATGTTTTAATTGCGATGAACTCTACTCAGCAAGGCACAAGTGCAAGAGACTTTTCTGCCTCCTGGTGAARCAAGAKGAAGATGAGGATGAACCMYCTTCAYTGGAACCCGATCCAGGAGGGCAAAGTCATTCCACCTATCCGGGATTCCTTTGACGGTGTTTTCCGACACCCATCCTGAATTCAAGCTTGAGGACAAGCTCATAGTCCAAGAGGGGAGTAATGATGTGGACGCATATTGGGAGCAACAGTAGCAATGATCCGATGTTCTCATCCTATCCAATTCGGCAGCAACTGTCTTATCCATTCAGCAAATTAGATTAGACTATCTTATTATTCTTATCTTATTAAGCTAGTATATTAGATTATCTTATCTTATTAGATTAGGATTAAGAGAGACTTATCTTATTAGATTAGGATTACGAGAGATTATCTTATCTTATTAGATTAGGATTAAGAGAGACTTATCTTATCTTATCAGTCATATCTTATCAAGATAGAGTTGGAGGTCTCCCTATTCAGCAAGGAGTCTCCCTAAGAGCAGGACTTTTGTAATCTCTTATTTAAGGAGCCACTATTATTGAATAAAGGCATCCAAAATTTCAGTCAAAGAGAAGAGTAAAGGAGAGTTAGGGTGATCTCTTGGACAAATCACCCCTTAGGTCGCCACGATAGGGTCAGCACGCAAAGGGAGGGGCAAGGGGAAATTAGAGGCTCTCCCGTGGACCGACCCATGATGAGATCCTATGCCCGGGCCCATAACAGTGTATTGCTTTAAAATTTGAGTACAT